TTTTGGGGCCCAGCCAATACAACGGTAGGTAAGAAACATTCTCATAAAAAAAATTTCATAACGTAATCTTTACAATGTCCTGTTCACATACATAACTATTAATAACAAACTACAGCTAATGACCAATGACAATGATCGTGTTGTATTCATTTCTCTTACGCGCCTCCTGCACAGGCACACCATTTCTCTCCACTAACACCAGCAGCGAATATTCTGGTATCCGGGAGCCATGTCATTAATCTTGGACCGACTCGATTGGTGTGCGCAACAGGAAATAATTCCATTCGAACCAGAAAAATAGGTTTATTTGCACGACGCTCATTCATCTGTGCCGTTATTTAGTGTCTGGTTAGGTTCATGTTCAAGAAGAAATATTAACTTTTATGAAAATGTTCCATTATTGCCAAAACCGGTTTGGCTTGGTGGACAGAGTGTCAGCCTGCGGACTGATGGGTCCTGGATTCAATTCCAGTCAAGGGCACATGTCCAGGTTGCAGGCTCGATCCCCAGTAGGAGGCATGCAGGAGGCAGCCAATCGATGATTCTCTCTCATCATTGATGCTTTTGTCTATCTCTCCTTCTCCCTTCCTCTCTGAAATCAGTAAAAATATATATTTTTTAAAAAACGAAGAAGTGCCAAAACCAGTATGGCTCAGTGGATAGAGTGTCGGCCTGTGGACTCAAGGGTCCCAGGTTTAATTCTGATCAAGAGCATGTACCTTGGTTGCAGGCACATCCCCAGTGGGGGGTGTGCAGGGGGCAGCTGATCGGTGTTTCTCTCTCTCATCAGTGTTTCTATCCCTCTCCCTTCCTCTCTGTAAAAAGTCAATAAAATATATATATTTTTTTAATTTTTCAATCGTTGGCCTATTGATACTTGGCTCTGTTGGCTAATGAGTTTGCTGACCAATGGTCTAGGAGGACACTTCTGTAAATGGGGGGGCTTACCTCTCCCCAGTGGGGGCCTGGGGAGCGTGAAAAGGGCCTTCATGCTGGGCTAGTGTCTGCCAGTGCTGCCATCCCTCGGACACCCACCCCCCTGCTGTTCAGTCTCTTTCCCAGAGCGGACCACCAGCTTCCCAAACCCTCTCCGCCCAGGTCTCCATGGTGATGACAATGTCCCCGGGCAGGAACTGGAAACGAAGCCTTGGTTTCAAAATCCTGGGAGAGGGAGGGGAAGGAACAGCTGAGACGACTGGAAGCCTGGCCACCTGGCTGGCTTTCCTGGTGTCAAAGGTGTGGGCAGCCTCGAGCTCAGGTGTGCCATTTTCTGCAATACAGGACAGGTCTGGGTGGCCACCTCTCTCCCCACTCCTCTCTCTCTCCCTCCTCACCCCCTCCTCTCTCTCTCCCTCTCCCTCTCCCTCTCCCTCTTTTTACAGAGAGGAAGCGGGGGAGAGGGATAGAAAGCTAGAAACATTGACCAGCTGCCTCTTGCACACCCTCAACTGGGGATGTGCCCGCAACCAAGGTACAAGCCCTTGACCAGAATCAAACCTGGGACCTTTCAGTCCGTAGGCAGACGCTCTATCCACTGAGCCAAACCGGTTTCGGCTCCTTCTGCTATTTTTAAAAATGGATTGAGAGAGGGGGAGGGAGGGAGACACAGGACTTGCTGTTCCACTTAGGCATTCACTGTTTGACTCTGGTATGTGCCCTGACCAGGAGTGGGGGTGGGGGTGTCAAACCCACCACCGTGGTACATTGGGACCAAACCCCTGCACAACCCTTCCAGGACTGCTGTTCTCTTTATCGCTGTGTATCTTCTGCCTTTATCTCCGTTGTGTATCCTTTGCTATTTTTACTGTTGTGTATCTTTGCTACTCTCTTTATTATTGTTTCCTTTGCAATTATCTTTGTTGTTGTTCATCCTTGCCATTGTCTCTGTTATGGTGTCTCTTTTGTTATTGTATTTATTAGCTTTAAAAAAATATTAAGATGAGCCCTGAGACTGAGGCTGAGGAAAGCAATCTCTATGTTTTCTGCTAAAAAAGAACAAGAACAAGAACAAAAACAAAACCCCAACAACAACAGAAAAACAGTTGCTCAGTTGGTTAGAGCATCCCCCTTATCCGCCAAGATTGAGGGTTCGATCCCAGATCACGGCACAGACAAGCATCAACCAATGAAGAAATAAGCAAGTGGAACAATGGATGTTTCTCTTGGTAAAATCAAGATTTTTTGTTTCTTTTTTTGTAAAATCAGTTAAAAAACAATTCAAAATGAACAAAAAACAAAACAAAAACACCTACCATTAAAAAAAAAATTAATGGCTGGTGTGGCTCAGTGTTTGAGCGTCAGCGTAGGAATCAGGGGGTCATGGTTCCATTCCCAGTCAGGTTGTGAGCTCGATCTCCAGTTGGGGGTGTACTGGAGGCTGCTGACCAATGATTTTTTCTCATCACTGATGATGTTTCTCTCCCACTCTCCCTCTTCCTTCCTCTCTGAAACCAATAAAAATATATTTTTAAAAATTTAAGATGATGCTGAAACTGGTTTGGCTCAGTGGATAGAGCGTCGGCCTGTCGACTGAAGGGTCCCAGGTTCGATTTCGGTCAAGGGCATGTACCTTGGTTGCGGCCACATCTCCAGTGGGGAGTGTGCAAGAGGCAGCTGATCGATGTTTCTAACTCTCTATTCCTCTCCCTTCCTCTCTGTAAAAAATCAGATAAGATATATATTTTTTAAAAATGTAAGATGAAACTCGCACATAAAAAAAACCACTTCAGGTGAACAGTGCATTGGCATTTACTTTCTCAATGTAGACTTTATTAGTATACTAGAGGCCTGATGCACAAAGATTCATGCAAAAATGGGCCTTCCTTCCTCTGGCTGCCAGCACCGCCTTTACTCCCATTGGAGCTGCCTTTTCACCTTCCCACGCTGCCTACACGCCCAGAGCAGCGGGGGTGGTGCCAACACAAGCATCCTGGCCTGCTCCCAGCTGTTCAGCATTTGCATATGCAAATTAACCCACCATATTTGTTGGACTAATTTGCATACTCACTCCTGATTGGCTGGTGTGCATCATGAAGGTACAGTCAATTTGCATCTTACTTTTATTAGTGCAGATGCTATAACAGCTTGCATGTAATTTGATGTGCAGGATTTTCTTCCCAGATCATCCTATTTAAAATAGCAGCTCCAGCCGTAGCTGGTTTGGCTCAGTAGATCAAGTGTTGGCCTGCAGACTGAAGGGTTCTGGGTTCAGTTTTGGTTTCTGGCTCAATCCCCAGTGTGGGGCTTGCAGGAGGCAGCTGACCAATGCTTCCCTCTCATAATTGATGTTTCTGTCTCCCCCTTCCTCTCTGAATATATATATATATATATATATATATATATATATATATATACACACACACATATCTATATATATATCTATATATAGATATAGATATTAGCAGCTCCATGCATTCCATCATAACTTTCTATCCTTCCACCCTTTTTTTTTTTTTTTTAAATCAGAGAGAAAGGGATAGAAACATCAGCATTGAGAGAATCATTGATCGGCTGCCTCCTGCATGCTCCCCACTGGGGATTGAGCCCACAACCTGGGCATGTGTCCTTGACCAGAATCGAACCCGGACCTTTCAGTCTGCAGGCCTATGCTCTATTCACCGAGCCAAACTGGCTAGGGCCCACCCTTTTTTTTTTTTTTTTTTTTTTTTTTTTTTTGTCTTTCTTGCCACCTGACCATCTATTTCTTGATTCACCTTCTTTATCATGCAACTCCCCACACAAAAAAAGTAAGCTCTACAAGAGCAGAGGTTTCTGTCTGTTTAATTCACCGTGTCTACAAATGCGCCTGGCTTTGGAGAGGCGTTGACATGTAAATAAACAAACTGTATTTGCCGATACCCAGTGCCAGCACCGAATAGACGTGTACAGGGAGAAACAGATGCAACATTTTCCGGACACTCGGCAGAGGGGTTGCTGTTGCCACCCAGGGTGACATTTTCTAGGGAACCGTGCCAATAATGGCAGGGAGTCCTCAGTCCTTATCCTCAAAGCAGCGCTCTGAGGGAAGAGGAGGAGCCCTGTCTGACAGGGGAGAAGAGGCAGTGAGTTCCAGGACTTGTTCAAAGCAGGGACCCCAGCGGCCCGAGCATTCGACCCTTGTGTGCTGGGGTCATGGGCAAAGAGGTGACCCCATCGGGGGGCACTCAATGAGGGTGTCCCTGGAGGAGACAGATGGACAGGATCTGTGATGGACAGTAGGGTTCGGGCATGGAGACTGCCCCCCCTGGGGATACTGAACCCCGTCCCTCTATATTCCAGCATGGGCTCGGGGATTGAGAGAGAGGGAATATTGCCAGGGGGTCAGATATTGACAGCATGTGGGAGGTAGGCAGGGATGGGACATTTGGGAGTCCCGGAACCACGTTGAGAACAGACCATTAGGAGGGTCCAGTGTTAGCTGTGATGTCATTCAGAAGGGCATCACGCCAGAGATGGTGGGCACAAGAGTATGTTGTCGAAATGAAATGTCATGGGAGTCTAGAACCTTCTTGAGCACGAAACATAGAAGGATCTAGTGGCAAGGAAAAGACCTTGTATGCATACATGCATAACCCATGGACACAGACAATAGGATGGTGAAGGCCTGGGGCAGGAGGTGGGGGTGGGCTGGAGGGGGTCCATGGGGGGGGGAGGGGGAAAGGGAACCTAGGTAATACTTTCAACAATAATTATTTTTTACAAACACAGAAAAATCCTATGGAATCAAAGGCTAATATGCAAATCAGCCAAATGGCGGAACGGCCGGTTGCTATGATGCACACTGACCACCAGGGGGCAGGCGCTCAATGCAGGAGCTGCCCCTGGTGGTCCGTGCATTCCCACAAGGGGAGTGCTGCTCAGCCAGAAGCCGGGCTCCTGGTTGGTGAGTGCATAGGCGATGGCAGGAGCCTCTCCCACCTCCGTGGCAGTCGGACATCCTGAGGGCTCCTGAACTGTAATAGGACACAGGCCAGGCTGAGGGACCCCACCCTGAGCGCACAGATTTCATGCACTGGGCCTCTAGTATAAAATAAAATATTGGCAATGAGTACGTATCCAGAGGAGTGTGGGATATTTACAAGAACGGTGCATTCATGGGAGATGGACCATCACTGGGATGGGATGGAGGTACCTAAGGGTCCCACAGACAGAACTTTTGGATGGTAATCTGGGTTGAAGCAGAAACAGTTGGGAGACCCAGAACGTATCTAGGTTGGGACTCTCGGGGGGGACTGAGGAGTCTCAGGGGTACAACGTCTGATAGACCATGATGCCAACAGGGGCCGAGTGCTTTTAAGACACAGAATGTCATCTGGGGTGTAGCATTCTGGGAACACGGATCGCTGGGTCAAGTGCAACGCTCTGGCGGGGGCAGGGATGGGGTCGGGTGGAGACCTGGGCAAACTGTGGAAGGAGGGCTTCAAGGGCGTGCAGAGGAGGTGGGTCAGGCAACCCGACTTTTATTGTGGGCCCTTCGTCCACTCCTGCTCTCGGGGCCTCTGTCCTCGGATGGTTTCCTGGATCCACGAAATGTACTGAGAGACGCGGGTGTAGACGCCGGGCCGGTTGGGCTGCCCGCAGGGGAAGTCTCCCCAGGAGATGATCCCGTGGAGCTTTCCGTTGCAGACCAGGGGGCCTCCTGAGTCGCCCTGAGTGGAGGAGACAGAAAAAAAAGGGGGTGGGGGGTGGTCCTTGCTGGGGCCTTGTGGGGCGAGAGTGAAAGATGGAGCAAGGCAAACATGGAGGCAGAGAGAGACAGAGGGATATGGGGAGACAGTGAGTAACAAAGACAGGGAGGAACAGATAGAAAGACAAATTCAAAAGCAAAAACAGCCCTGACCGATTTGGCTCAGTGGATAGAGCCTTGGCCTGGGGACTCAAGGATCCCAGGTTCGATTCTGGTCAAGGGCATGTACCTTGGTTGTAGGCACATCCCCAGTAGGGGGTGTGCAGGAGGCAGCTGATTGATGTTTCTCTCTCATTGATGTTTCCAACTCTCCCTTCCTCTCTGTAAAAAAAAAAAAAAAAAAAAAAAAAAAAAAAAGCAATAAAATATATATTTTTAAAAATTAAAAAACACAAACAAAAAAACAACTCAAAAACAATACAGAACCCAAAACAAACAAAGATAAACTCAGAGGGACAGAGAATGAGAGACAAGTCTCCCCCTCCCTTCCCTCCCACCCCCTGCCCGGTCTCAGTGAGAGAGAGACACTGAGAGAGGGGGAGACTTCTGTGTGTCTCCGTTTTTTTGTTTTGTCCCCATTTCATGAAAATGGTGAAAGTTTACCCCACACACCCATCCTTCTTTCCCTGCCACCGACTCCCATGTTGCTCCTCCTGACCCCCAACCTGCTCTGGCTTTATGGTGTCTTCACGCCATCTTACTATTGAGCTAACCCGGTCACATCTGGGTTGACTTTTCCTCGTGTCTGGGACACATGTTATTACTACCAATAAGGCTCTCACCATTGGTTCATTATCACACCCTTTCCCATGGAACCAAACCTCCGCTTAAGAAGCGTCCTCTAGCGCAGCCAGCATGGCTTAATGGTTGATCATCGACTTATGAACCAGGGGAACAGGGTTCAATGCCCGGTCATGGCTCTTGCCCCTCGGTTGCGGGCTCAGTCCCCTGTGTGGGACCTGCAGGAGGCAAACTATCAATAACTCTTCCTCATCATTGATGTTTCTATCTCTCTCTCCCTTTGCATTCCTCTCTAAAATCTGTAATACGCTAATTAGACCAGGCATCCTTCCAGACAACCTATTGGATGAAGCTGCAAGGGAAGCCCAGGTCCTGGGTGCCAGAAGGAATCTGGTGTCAGCAGCTGGGGTAAGGAAGGCCTACTCTTGCACAAATTTTGTGCATTGGGCCACTAGTCCTCCTATCTAATAAAAGGTTAATATGCAAATTAACCATCACTCCATCGCACAGATGGTGGTGCCTAGTCCTTTCAGCTCCACCAGAGTCCCCCAATCCTGGGGGAGAGGCCACTGAGAGTGGACAGCATGAGTGGCCTGGCAGAATGCTTGCTTCATCACCACGGCAACCAGGCAAGCGTTCTGCACCTGGCTGTGGATGGGCATCTGGGCCACAGAGAGCCTCTGGGTAATGGGTGCGAAGCGACCAGGCCCCGCAGAGAGATACCGATGCACAGATTCGTGCACAGGGCTACTAGTCCCATCTAATAAAAAGAGTAATATGCAAATTGACCATCACTCCAACACACAAGATGGCTGCCCCCATGTGGACACAAGATGGCCACCAAAAGATGGCCAGTAGGGGAGGGCAGTTGGGAGAGACCAGGCCTGCAAAGGAGGGCAGTTAGGGGTGACCAGGCCTGCAGGGGAGGGCAGTTAGGGGCAATTGGGCTGGCAGGGGAGTGATTAGGGGGTGATCGGGCTGGCAGACAGAAGCAGTTAGGGGGTGATCAGGTTGGCAGGCAGGCGAGCAGTTGGGAGTCAGCAGTCCTGGATTGTGAGAAGAATGTCCTACTAGGATCGGGCCTAAACAGGTAGTCAGACATCCCTTGAGAGGTCCCAGATTGGAGAGTGTGTAGGTTGGGCTAAGGGACACACACCCCCATGCACGAATTTCGTGTACCGGGCCTCTAGGTACAATAGAGAAGAAGCCTCCTCTATTTTACCTAGCTGTCATTTTTGCCCATGTAGTATCCATTTTACCTTATTTTGGTAACAACGTTCTGATTTTTTTTTTTTTTTTCATGTGGGGAATATCCCCAGTCCCTGTCCTTCCCAGCTCCCACCGTGAGTTGTGTGACTCTGAGTTGGTCCATCAGAGAATCCCACAGCTTGAGCCCGATGGAGGTTCGAGGACACATGACATCCATCAGTGCCCTGCTCAAGATGTTCCTATGAACCTTACCTCTATTACACGTGCCCCTGGATCGATCCGTGCCTGAACCAGGTTTCCTCGGGGCTTTCCAGCTTTAAAAGTCAGTGTTTGCTTACGGCAGTTTGAGCTTTTATGTGTTTGTGTTTTATTTTGGGTCAGCTGCAACCCAAAGAATCCTAACGTGTATGCATGTCAACATCAGAATCTGGCAGCCACTGGCAGCCACAGCTGGGGCTTACGATGAGGTCTATTTGCCATCCATGGGTACTCCCTTTTGCCTTAACCTTCTACTCAAGGGGACGTCTCACCTTACACAGACTCGTTCCCCAAAGGCTAGAAGCAAATCCTTCCCCTGCAGCATCCGTCCCCACCTCCATTCTGACTTGACACCCTGGCCCATGGCAGCCCCCACCCCAGCCCCAAGCAGCCTCACCTCACAGGAGTCCTTGCCGCCCTCGCGGGAGCCGGCACACACCATGTTGCGGGTGATCCTCCCCGGGTAGGCTTGCCGACACTCCTCATCTGAGCGCAGCTGGATGTTGGCACACTGTAAGGTTTGTGGGAAACTCACTGGGGAGGAGAGAGAGAAGGTCTGGGGATAGCTGTCTTGGACAGGCTATGAAACGGGAGTTCGATTGGACAGTTGGCAGCAAAGAGAGATGGGAAGAGGGAGATGGGGGAGAACGTGATGGGAGAGACAGAAACATGGAGAGAAATTGGGGAGGGGTGTCACGGAAAAGGAAAGTGGAGGGAGAGATGGTCAGAGAACTGAGTGTGAAGAGACGCAGATGAAGAGGGAGAGGAGAACTGATGCATGAAGACAGAGAGAGTGGGGAGAACTAGGAAGACAGAGGAGGTGAGAGGGAATGGGGGATGGGGAAACCACAGGAGAAGTGGCAAGAATTACAGGATAATAGGGAAGGGGTGGGAGAGAGATGGGGCATGCTGGGCAGAAAGACACAGAATTGAAGATGGGAAAGTGCGGGGATGGCTCAGGACTCTGCCACTGTAGATCAACTTTATATTCACACATGATATATATATATATATATACACACACACACACACACACACACACACACACACACTGAGTGGCCAGATTATTATGCATTCAGAGATCATAATAATCTGGCCACTCAGTGTATATCCTATATAATAAAAGGCTAATATGCAAATTGTCCCCTTGACCAGCAGGCAGGCAGGCCAACCACCCATGTCCCCTCCCCATAGCCAGGCTGGCTGCACCCCACCCATGCACAAATTCATGCACTGGGCCTCTAATATATATATATATACAATATATACTGAGTGGCTAGATTATCATGCATTCAGAGATCATAATAATCTGGCCTCTCAGTGTGTGTTTGTGTATATATATTTATAATATATATACACACACACACACACACACACACACACATACATATATAACATTTATACACAAAAGATAAAGCAGTTTTCATTTTATTATATTTAATTACTATATATCTACCATAATATACAATTTACATACAAATATGTTTAAATAAATGCATAAATATAAAATTATATTTTGGAAACCTAAATTTTTATAATTTGCATATTTATATACAGATGTATGATGTATATTTTAATTTTAAAATGTTTTTGTTTTTTTAGAGAGAGGAAGGGAGAGGGAAAGATAGAAACATTGATGAGGAAAACATCAACATCAATCAGCTGCCTCCTGCATGTTCCCTACTGGGGATCCAGTCTGAAACCGTGGCGTGTGCCCTGATTGGGAATTGAACCAGCAACCTCCTGGTACATGGACTGACGCTCAACCGCTGAGCCACGCAAGCCAGGCATATAATGAATATTTCTATAAACATGCACATAATATGTAGACTCTATGAAGTTGTATATATTTATAAATTTGTATAAAGACATATAACTGTATAGTATATGATTTATAATGGTATATAACTTTATAAATTTATATAAAGGATATCTATAACAACTATATATTTATAAATTTATATTTATGTAAAAGATATACATAATTTTATACATTACATTATCTGTAATACACATATGTAAGTGTATGTTCTTCTTGTTTCTTTAGAACCATATATTATTTATTTTCATTTTTATATAAAAAGGAATCTCGCTGTGGCCAGGTAGCTCAGCTGGTCAGAGCATCCTCCTGATTTGCCAGGGTTGTGGGTTCGATCTTCGGTCAGGGCACATACCAGAAGCAACCAACGAATGCATTCAACAAGTGGGACAACAAAACCAATGTTTCTCTCTCTCCCTTCTTTCTCTCTAAAAATCAACAACAGTTGAAACCGGTGTGGCTCAGTGGATAGAGTGTTGGCCTGAGGACTGAAAGGTCCCAGGTTCGATTCCGGTCAAGGGCATGTACCTTGGTTGCGGGCACATCCCCAGTGGAGGGTATGCAGGAGGCAGCTGATCTAGGATTCTCTCTCATCGATGTTTCTAACTCTCTATCCCTCTCTCTTCCTCTCTGTAAAAAAAAAAATCAATAAAATATTTTAAAAAAAATAAAATAAAAATCAACAACAAATTTTAAAAAAATGAATCCTCCTACAACCTACTGTCCTGCCTCTGCCCCGTCCCCCGCCTCCCCGCCACCTGTGAGACTGCCTCTGTGTGTACATACCCCGGGGGCTGATGGTGGTGCCCCAGCCGGACACGCGGCAGCAGGTGCCCGCTGGGAGGCAGTCGCTGTGCGAGAGAGGTAGGACGCGGATGTGGCTGGAGAGACGGACGGGCGACTGCAGCTCCAGCAGCATGATGTCGTGATCGTGGTTCAAGTGGGTGGGGCTGCTGTGGTACTGAGGGTGGGGGATGGAGCGGGCGACCTCCCGCACCTGCTCGCCGGCCTCCTCGTGCCCCAGGGCGTGCTTGCCCAGGGAGACTGTGTATCCGCTGTGGGGGCAGCAACAGGGTGCTTAGAGAAGATAGGTCCCTCCCTAACCCCTCCCAGCTCCATCACACCTTCCCCATCTTCTCTCCCATCAACTCCAATCCCATCTGAATCCTCTACGACTCAGTGTTTCCCAAACTTTTGAAATATGTATACCCCCTTCTATAATTTTCGTTAACGCTGAGTACCCCTCGTACTCACGAGAACGTAGAATTAGGCGCACCTAAGCACAGTGCAGTGTATATCCCCACCAAACTCTTCCCGTACCCCTGGGGGTACACGTTACCACACTTTAAGAAACACTGCCAAGGCCATTCCTGTCCCCAACCCCCTAACTCCACCCAAACCCCATTCTCACCCGCTTGCCTCCAAACCGGAAAGGACTCCAACCTCATCCTCAAAGGCAAACTCCACCCAGTCCCATTACCATCCCGCCCCCGTCCTCCCCGGCCCCCACGTACTTCTTCAGACAGTGGGCTGCAGTCAGGACCCATCGGGGATGGACAAGGACCGCCCCGCAGAGCAGCCGACCCTGAACCAGCAGAGCTGCCTGCCAGGGCTGAGAGTGGGGAGGGCAGGTGTAGCCGCCGGGGAGAAACCCATTGGTCCCGTTGGTGCTGTTGATGATCTTGGGGTACTCCTGAGAGAGGCCTGGGAGAAGAGAGGAGATGTCAGAGGCCTGGGGTTCCGGCAGAGGAGGCCTGGAGGTGCAGTTCTCGAGTTTGGGGAGAGGGTCAGCGTTTGCTCTTGGTGACCAGGAACAGATGAGTCACCGCTCAGGCTCTGGGAATTGCAATTTTCAACAGAGCAGAGATGACTTGGGGCAAAGAGATGACAACAGAAGTGTCATCTCCTCCACAGGGCCGGAGGGGGGGGGGGAAGGGATAGGGGGAATGAGGGTAGAAGGGTTCACGGAATGAAGATGTTTCTGATAAGCTTTCTCCCCACCTGCATTTTCTCTCTCTTTCCACCACGGGGATGGATTTCAAGAGGTAGAAGTGAGATGGACCTCCACAACCTAGGCAGCATCCATCCCTGCCTCCATCCATCCATCCAACCATTCATCTATCTATCCATCCATCCATCCCTTCATCCCTCCCTCTCTCCATACATCCATTTGTCCATCCCTCATCCATCTACCCACCCATTCTTCTATCCCTTCATCCATCCATCCATCTATCTATCCGTCCATCCCTCCCTCCCTCCATCCATCCCTTCACCATCCATCCAACCATTCGTCCACCCATCCTTTTCTCCCTCCATCCATCCATTCATCTATCCATCCCTTCATTCATTCATCCATTTGTCCATTTGTCCATCCCTTCATCTATCTACCCATCTGTCCATCCATGCATTTGTCCATCCATTCATTTGTCCATCTGTCCATCCCTTCATCTGTCCACCCATCTCTCCATCCTTGCATCTGTCCATCAATCTGTTCATCCATCTGTCTATCCATCCTTCCCTCCCTTCATCTATCCATTCATTTGTCTATCTGTCCATCCATCTGCCCATCCATCCACCCATATGTCCATCCATCCATCCATTGTCCATCCATCTGTCCATCCACTCATCCGTCCATCCATTCCTTCACCCATCCACTCATCTGTCCATCCATGCATCCATGCATCTATCTTTTCAACATCTTATTTGCTGGGTTCCTCTTTGGCTTCAAATACCATCCATAGGCTAACTACTCCCCAGTTCAAAGTTTGCAGGATTCTGAATCATCTGACCTTTGTTAATCTCCTCGACCCCATCCCTCACCTTTCTCCTCTTCACTCACTCTGTTCCAGTTTCGTAGATCTGTTCTCAAACCGACCAGGGCCTTGGCACTTGCTGCTTTCTCTTTCTCGACAGTTCTTTCTCCAGGCCTGCACTGTTCAATATGGTAGCACTAGCTGGCGTGGCTATTTAAATTTAGACTCCTCAAAACGAAACTTAAAAATTCAGTTCTTGCCCTGGCCAGTGTGGCTCAGTGGGGAAGTGGAGGCCCTGCACTAAGGGTGGCAGGTTCAATTCCCATCAAAGGCACACACCTGGGGCCTACAATAACGAAGATGGATGCCAGGACGTGGGGGAGGGGACTGGGCAGGCACGGGTTAGAACTCTGCTGCTGTCTAGGGCTGGCCCCTCCTGTCGGAGGCTTGGGTTTTCCAGCTGCGAAACTGGAGTAATTATAGCTCAGGTCTCTCCTAAGGCTGTTGAGGATTCCACAAGCCAATGCATGTGGAGCTCTGATCCTAGGGCGTGGCCCCCAGGAGGGGCTGGGAGTGTTGCCAAAGGACACCAGGCACCCCACCTCCCGGCCAAGCCTGGTGCCAGGTGCTCTTGGCCCCCTCCCTCCATTGGGACTCAGCTCCAGGGTCTAGTCCTTTGGGGGGTAGGAGGGAGGAGGCTTCCAGACAGGGAGCTGCCATCCCTAGCCTCCTGGCTTGATCCTTAAAAGCCATCCCCTCCCTCCTGCAACAATTGCAGCTGGTGATTGACTAATCATGTGGGTAATTGGTTGGGATGAGGTCTGCAGCCGAACCCACGGGGCTCTGGGGTCACCCCAAGGAAGAAATGGAAGGTTCTGAGAATGGACAGAGAACACGACTAATAAGGTCCTGGTGACCACGATGACCAACCAACCAACCAACCTTCCACCCCTTCTATCTGCCGGCCGTCAGCACAGACGGGCGCTAGCTACCTCATTTCATTTTAACATTCGCAGCAACCCTTGGTGGGCAAAAGTGCATTTGCAGTGAGGAGTGCTATGCAAAGCACGGTATTGCTATTATTATCATTATTGATTATTAATTATTATTAAGGATTGCATTCTTTCCCATGCGAACAACGGTAACCCTACGTTTGCCCAGCCCCGCCTGCCCTCATTTTACAGATGGAACGACCGAGGCACAAAGAAGCAAAGTCACTTTGCTCCTAGGGGCAGAGTGAGGACTTGAACCCGTGTCTGGGAGCCCAGGAGGCCTGGAATGGGGGGAGGGGATAGAGGAGGGGGGGTGGGCTGCTAGGGACAGGAGGGAGGCTGACCTCAGCCCGGAAACCAGGTCATTCCGGGATTAAGCAGGAAGTTTTTGGGGCTGTCCCCAGGGGACCCTGCCCCGAGTGGGAGGTGGGGGGCGGGGCTCGCGGCTTCCCCTCCCCCCATTGTCTGCGGCGGCCACCCCACCCCCGCCCCCGCCATTCTTACCGCTTGACGAGGTGAAGGCCGTGGTCAGGAAGGCGATCGCACTGGCCAGGGGCCACATGGCAGCTTCTGGGTTTGGGGGGGCGGAGGGGATGGGCAGGGCAGGGGGCAGGGCGGGCCGAGCCTGAGAACTGGGAAGGCAGGTGTGAAAGGGCCAGCCCCAAACCCCCATCTCTGACCCCTGAGCTTCCCAGGTGCAAACCCGCCTGCCCTCTGGAGAACCCTGGCCCTCCTCCTGCTCCCCAAATTCATGGGGGGGGTGCACCCTAGGGCACTGGCTTTGCCAGACCTCGACCACAGGTAGCCAGCCAGTCCCTCCACCCTGCCCTGCAAGCTGGGCCCTCGGTGCATGCTCCAGCCCCTCTCCTCCGCTCCAGCCCCTCTCCTCCGGGGCCCCGGCCTCCCCTCCTCCCGGGGTTGGTTCCCACACCTGCTCTCACCCTGAGCTTATCTCCCTGCGCCTGCAGCTCCCGGTCTCTGCAGATTCCTATCTGCACCTGAGCCTCAGGTCTCCCTCACCACCTCCCTGACTCAGCTAGGCTCCCTCTGTCTCCCCTCCACCCACCCCCCTTCCCTCCAAGGCCCCAGCCCCTGCCCCAAGGCGCCCGCACCTTACCTGGGTGAGGGGCCCCAGGCGGAGAGAGCTTCTGCAGCCGCCAGCTGCCTCCAACTTCAGCCCCGACCCATGCCTTTTAACCCCTGACGCCCTCCCTCCCCCGGCGCCCTCAGCATTTCCCGGTCGCTGGCCTACCCCTCTCCACCCCCGATGGCTCAGCAGGCTGTGCCAGGCACCCCCCAGCCTGGGCTTGGCCTCACGCTTGGGGCGGAGCTTTCGGGACAGACTGGGACCCAGAGGTGGCTCCTCCCAAGGCCCAGCTGAACCCGCAGTGAACTCTGAGGAAGTCAGGACACCCACCTAGGCGGAAGGAGAAAGCCCATAGGACTTCCTTCCCCAAACCCACCCCAAATCCCCGCGACCTTTCTCGGTAACAGAGCTCGCGTGCCAACCTCCTGCTCCATCCTGAGCATCCTATCAATAGACACCAGCAATCAGCAACCTCCGCCACCCTCCTCCCCCCCAAGGCTATTTCCACCCTATTTCCATTCCCCGACCTAATTCCAGCCCCTGGCCTATCCCTCCAAACCAGTGCCCTCCACAGCTTTATCTCAAGACATCACAGTACAACACATCTAAATTTCAGTCCTTGGCCTGGACGCTAGCCCCAACTCCATCTCCAGCCCTTTTTCTAAAAATAAAAATAAAAAAAATAATAATAAAAAATACCACAGGGATGCTCAAGCATATTCTACCTACCGTCTGCCCTTCCTGCTCTCCCCCCACCCCCCCCAAACATGAGTCACAACAAGGGAATTAGTTCTTCAGGTGGGGTGATGGACAGTCAACTGTCCTTAAATGAGGATGGGGGCAGGGATGGGGCCCCGGAAAGCAATCTTTTGGGTAAGTGGCCTTTGGGGGAGCAGGGTCAGCTGGGGTGAGGGAGGCCATGGGTGTGGAGGCGGAGAGGGAAGAGGAAGGAGGAAGAGGCTGTGTGGGGGAATGAGTGGGAGTCTCCTGGAATTGTGACTGGGTAGGGCTGCGCGTTAATCCCGGAGGGTGGAGGAGGCAGGATGAGGGATTAGGGTGGACCAAGGTGGGGCCAGAATTTGGAAGAAAGCCAGGGAATGGGGGCCTCCTCGGATGAAGTCTGGAGAGGGTAAGTGGTGTCAGGTGGGGAATCAGGGGTTGAGGCGGATGGAGGGAGTGTTAACATCAAAACTGGTGTGGCCGTATCGGGGGAGAGTTTAAATTTGGATCAAATTTAAATTTAGGGATCAAATCTAGTATCAAAAAATATTTTTAAGTGTTTATTTATTGACTTTAGAGAGAGAAGGGAAGGAAGATGAGAGAGAGAGAGAGAGAGAGAGAGAGAGAGAGAGAGATTGATTTGCTGTTCCACTTATTCACATGTGCTCTTACCAGTGGTTGAGCCCACAACCTTGATGCAGAGTTCACAATCCTCTGACCAACTGAGCTACCTGGCCAGGGCTTAAAATATAACATACATATATATTTATTAATTTCAGAGAGGGAGAGATTGAAACATCAATGATGAGAGGGAATCATTGATCGGCTGCCTCCTGCATACCCCCTACTGGGGATCAAGCCCACAACCTGGGCATGTACCCTTGGCTGGAATCGAACCTGGGACCCTTCAGTCCACAGGCCGATGCTCTATCCATTGATCCAAACCAGCTCAAGCTAAAATAGAATTTATTTATTTATTTATTTTTTAAAAGATCAAACTATAACTCTCCTACATATATAAATTGAACGCATGTTTAATATTTTATTTTGGCTCATTACTAAGTGATACAACCATCCAAAGAACCATAGGCCATAAGGCATGCTAAAGTGAATGTATACATAGACATAAGCTGTCTTATTCCACGTGATGGGGAGAAGGGAAATTGCACTTCCACCTGTAAGATTCATTTGCGTGGTTGCGGACAGGAGTGATTTGCATTGCGATCAGCTGTCCCTAATTGACAGCATTGTAAAGCGGCTCAAAGACAGGAAAAGAAGCAGGGACCCCAGCAATCAGTGGGCCCAGCTAGCTTTCCACCAAAGATACCCATTTGCCTTCACAATATCCATGTCTTTCACAGTCTTCCCATGCACCCAGGGAGAAAAGTTTTCGGTCATGGTTAGGCTGGGTCTGATGACAGCATTGGGAATGCAAGTGGAATTTGGGGGAAAGAAGGGAGATGTGGTGAAGATGTGGCTGGAGTAAGTTTAGGGCCGTGGTCGGCAAACTCATCCGTCCACAGAGCCAAATATCAACAGGTCAATGATTGAAATGTTTTTGGAGAGCCAAAGTGTTTAAACATACACCACTTCTAACACCACTTCTTCAAAGTAGACTCTCCCAGGTCATGGTATTTTGTGGAAGAGCCACACTCAAGGGGCCAAAGAGCCACAGTTTGCCAACCATGGGTTTAGGGCCATGGTCTGCAAACTGCGGCTCATGAGCCACAGGCAGCTCTTTGGCCCCGTGAGTGTGGCTCTTCCACAAAACACCACGTGTGGGCATGGCATGCATGTACAGTGCGGTTGAAACTTCATGGCCCATGCTCAGAAGTCGGTTTTCGGCTCTTAAAGAGACATTTCAATCATTGTGCTGTTGATATTTGGTTCTGTGGACGAATGAGTTTGCTGACCACTGGTGTAGGGGACAGGACTGAGTTGTGGTTGGGAGTTTTCTGGCCATAAGGCTGTGCATGGAGTCCCATTGGGTGTGGGACTGGGGTTGGAGCCACCATGGAAGGTTTGGGTGGGGAGGTGTTGAAGATGCATTTGAGTTGGTGTTAGGTAGAGATCGCCATGGACAATGAGGGCTGAGGTTGAGCATCTGTGTGAGGTAGGGTGTTGGTGTGGGGTGGGCCGGGCCGTAGCTGTGAACTCCTCTCCCCGGGGACTGAAAAGCGTGGAATTCCCCCACTGCACAGGGTGGGAGCCCGAGTGGAGACCGCGTTGACTCTTTCCCAGCAGAGTCGGGTTCAGTCCGGGTGGCGAGAGGGAGGATGCCGGGTCACAGGAGGTGGCTGGGCCTGTGTGGGAAGCCAGGGTACCTGTGCCCTCTTGTGGCTGGGTCCACGCTCCCACGGGAGCCCTTTCTCACCCAGGAAGGGCTGGAAGGAGCCCGGAGAGGGGGCGGCTGGACTGGCATCTGCCGAGGGGTGAGGGCAAGGTCAATGCCGATGGTTGAGCTTATGATTGGCCAGGGCTGACGTTGGCCAGTTTGTGTTTGAAGTGAGGTAGGTCATGGACCCACGGAGGATGGGGTGGGTTCCACCCCCTCCCTCCTCGGCAGAGGTGACACATCAACTGGACCAGGTCCAGGTGTACTGTCTCACGCAAGTCAGGGTCTCTCTCTCTCTCTTTCTCTCCCCCCCACCCCCACCCCACCCCTCTTCTGGGAGTAAAAGCTGCAGAAAGATGAGGAAAAGCCGAAATCAGTTTGGCTTAGTGGATAGAGCATTGGCCTGCGGACTGAAAGGTCCTGGGTTTGATTCCGGTCAAGGGCATGTACCTTGGTTGCAGGCACATCCCTAGTAGGGGGTGTACAGGAGGCAGCTGGTCGATGATTCTCTCCCATTGATGTTTCTAGCTCTCTATCCCTCTCCCTTCCTCTCTGTAAAAAAAAAAAAATCAATAATATATATATATATATATATATATATATATATATATATATATATATATATATATCTGGAGTTCACGAGACAAGGCCCCTCCATGCCTCTGTGTCCCCCAATTTGTGCGGTGGCCCTGTCACCAGCACCTACCTACCTCGCTGAGGAGGGTTAGATGAGTTAATGTCGGGAGGTGCTTGCACAAGAGCCTAATGGGACCTGGGGCCACGCAGGTGCTTGCTACATCGGCAAACCTGGAGAGGCAGGCGGGCGAGGTTCCTGGAAGCCCCACCCGGGCTTGGCTTCAGAATGGGGTTCCTCGGGAGGCAGGAACTGGAAGTTCTGGTTGGAAGTGCTGATTGGGGCGAGAAAGTTGGCCCCGGCCACCAGGCCCAGAGGAGCGGCCCTGATTCAAAGAAAGACAAAGGGATAAATACACCGGGACAGGCAGACCGAGTGGGTGGGAGAGGTGGGGAAATGCAGAGGGAGGGAGAGAGAGAGAGAGAAAGAGAGAGACACAAAGACATGATAGAGAGATGTCCCTGGGAAAACCAGACTCCTTGAGACTAGCAAGGGGTCGGGAGCCGTGTGTTCATTCGTGAGAGCTGGATCCCTGGGTCACAGGCGTCAGCCCCAGGCACCGTTTCTGGGCGGCCATGACCTCACTTTCCACCCATCCGAACAGCAGAAGCCGAAAAGGTCAGCCTTGCCATCCGCCTGCCTGCATGCCCACCTCCTCTGCCTCCTCTCCCAGGTCTGCACCTCGATCAATTGAAGAACGTCCCCTCTGTGTGTGCCTGGTACCCTGCCCCTCCTTCGTCTTCCTCAACACAGTTCCAGCCAGTACGTCTCTCTCTTCCCTCTACACACCATCAATTCTTCCCTGCACCAGCGAGCTAACATACACACATGCTCCCATTGCTCCCGTGTCCCATTAGAAATAATGTTTAGCCCTCACCGGCTTGGCTCAGTGGGTAGATCATCGGCCTGCTGACTGAAAGGTCCCAGGTTCAATGCCGGGTGTGTACCTTGGTTGCAGCCATATCCCCAATGGGGGGTGTGCAGGAAGAAGCTGATGGATGTCTCTCTCTCATGGATGTTTCTAACTCTCTATCCCTCTCCCTTCCTCTCTGTGAAAGATCAATAAAATATATTTTTTAAAAATAATAATGTTTAAGCCGAAACCGGCTTGGCTCAATGGATAGAGCGTCGGCTTGGGGACTGAAGGGTCCCGGGTTCGATTACGGTCAAGGGCATGTACCTTGGTTGCGGGCATATCCCCAGTAGGGGGTGTGCAAGAGGCAGCCGATCGATGACTCTCTCTCATCGATGTTTCTAACTTTCTATCTCTCTCCCTTTCTCTCTGTACAAAATCAATAAAATATATTTAAAATAATAATAATAATAATAATAATAATAATAATAATAATAATAATGTTTAAAAACCTCTCCAAGTGCCCTGGATGATGTGGTTCAGCTGGTTGAGCATCATCCAGTGTACCGAAGGGGCTCCGGTTCCATTCCCGGTCGGGGTGTGTATGGGAGGCAACCTATCGGTGTTCCACTCTCTAGTCTCCTGTCT